GCACCAGTCATTGAAAACCTATACAACTCAGACTGTTGCTGATAAGTGGGGGTTAAGTGCCAGGAAAATTTTCCATGCTACCGTAAACCTCCAAATATAAGCCCCCCCCCCCGTGTATAAGCCCACCACCGCATGTATAAGCCCACCACATGTACTAAGGCTCACCTCATTCCGAATATAAAGCTCACCTCATTCTGAATATAAGCCCAGTAGCCCACTACATTATTCAACATTGACATTGTTAATTAACCCATTAAGCTGCGGAGCTTTCCCATTGACAAGTAAAATCGTCTGGCGTTAGACAAGTAAAAAAATAAGTAAGGCACACTGGGGCACATTGCGGCTTGATGGGTTTACCAGAGACATTGTCAGATTTTTTGGTCAACCCATTAAGCTGCAGAGTTTCCCCATTGACGAGTAAAATCGTTTGGCGTTAGACAAGTGAAAATAAAGTAGAGCGCACTGGGGCGCGTTGTGGCTCAATGGGTTAATATAGCAGAGAACAATATTTAAAAACATTGTCTTTATAGCTTAAGTCAATGTCGTTAATTAATCAAAGTGCATTATTACTATGTGTTTATTTTCCTGTTTATGACTGACTTGTTTATTATACTAACACAAAAGATTGTCCATGTATAAGCCCGAGCGATAAAGAAAATGATACAAAGATGGAATGATTGGATGCAAGTTATTTACAGTGTTTCATATGACAGGTATTCTGATTGTGGAAGATGTGGGGTTGCAATATTTTGACAGTTGCATGGCTATAAAGTACGAGACAATTAATATAGTATACTCCATTACTCTAATTGCCAGAACACTGCATCAGAATGAGAAGTTGTCTGTTACAGTTCGGTTTAGTAAAAGTACATAGTAAAAGTACATAGTCAGCTATGTAAAATGTAATTTAGTCAGTGTCAAATAAATATTTTGTCATGGATAAACTCTGTGCAAATGAGCATGTCTCTAATGTCATTTTACTTTTAATAAGAATATGTAGATGTGTTTTCTAATACACCTTAGGTTTGCTGTGTTATATAGCATTTTTTGTAGGTGTGTTATGTAACACACCTTAGTGTGTTATGAAACACACCTTACAACGTGTTGTAAACATTACAGACCTCAATGGTGTGTTATACAGCACAGCTTTAGGTGCGTTTTAAAACACGCCATGGTGTGTATGAAAACACGCCATGGTGTGTATGAAAGCACGCCATGGTGTGTACGAAAACACGCCATGGTGTGTTCAAAAACACACCTTTATACAAAACACACCTTAAGGTGTGTTAAAATCTGGACAAGCCGAAAACACACCTTAAGGTGGGTTTTAGAACACACCTTAAGGTGTGTTTAACACACCTTAAGGTGTGTTTAACACACCTTAAGGTGTGTTACAAAACACGCCAAAAGCTGTGTTAAACACACCTTAAGGTGTGTTCTAAAACCCACCTTAAGGTGTGTTAAAATTTGGACAAAAAGGTGTGTTAAATTAACACACCTTTTTTTAGAGTGTGCGGCGACCTTTGAACTTTAATATATAAAGCTCGCTATTGCGGGTTTTTATGTGTGAATTATTCAACATTGATTTGTGTTTTCTCTTTAGTTTCCCACGCACAGAAAAATATTTGAAATACAAATAATTACCCATTTCTTGGGGTGGTGATGTTTTACTACTCGTTTTAGTGTGACATATTTCTCTTAAAACTCTTAAGGGCACAATATAAAATGTTGTTGTTGAAATATAATATCCTTTGATACAAAGGCTCAGACTTGTGTTGAATATTCTGTTCAATATATAAACGAGCATATGTATCATATTGTACTTCTGTGCATATTATTCTCTCTGTTACTCGCATATTCTTTGAATGCACCACGTACTATTAGTTGCAGTTTGTTAATCATTGTCTGTGTATTTGTATTTCATATTTTGTTTCACGGCAGGGGCCTATAATGATTATGGCGTGCGCGAATTCATCACGCGAAAAACGTGTTGGACTTGCCGACACATAAGACAACGTTAATGTGGGTCGTTAATACGCAGATTTTGTCCAGAGTACAGCAAACTTTGGTCCCACAATTAGAATTGTAAGCATTGTAATCTGGAACGATCATTTTATTGCAAATCATATTGACATTGTGCGAGACATTGTTGTATTCATAGCAATATTTTCATATCTGTGGCAAAATCTTCAAGTTTCTAATTACAGCAATGAAGTATAAGAGTAAAAGGTTCCGTGATAATATTTTTGTACATATCTATGAATGTTTAGTGTGTCGGCAAGCCGTATTTTAAAACAGTAAGTTAATTTCCATTATCACCGCTTATATCTTGTCACGTGACCGATTTCCATGGAAACCAAATAGTTGAAAAATATCGGCCGTTGATTTCCAACATCTCACCCAAAAATGAGATTCATAGTGTGTTTTGTTAATTTTTAATTAATTTTTAAAGATTTTTCCTATTTCCTCACTCCTTACAAAATTGGAGCCATGCATTAATGCACCTCAGCTTAGCCAATACCGTTCAGAATTTACAAATCAAATGCTATATTATAATGGCTGTTTTTATACTAGAGACGCACTATGCATCTGGACGCATAATCCGTCTTCTACATTATTCGTCTAGTATAAAGACGGGACGAATAATCAGAAGAACTATCAGCATTTATTGTTCGTCTGGTTATGCATCCTCAGTATAAAGATGGGCACAAGACACATTATGCGTCTATACGAAATATCCAGGCACAGATTTTCTGGGGGGTGCGCACCCCCAGAAATGATTTGCACCCCCCCTCCCCAGAGGCATTTGGTACTGCCCCCAAACGTTTTTGCACCCCCGCAAATTATATCTATTTTGATAGTTTCATATTTGATTATTCTTACACCTAAATTTGTAAAATTACTAATATTATGGTCTCAGATCTCGCCATGCAGGCCTAGAAAACAGATTTTGTTAAACTTTTTCCTTTGCTTTTCTGGGCGTTGCCACTACGCCCCGGCCAAAGCAAGCAGCAGCACCCCCCCCCCCCCCCCCGAACAAAAATATGAAAATCCGTCTCTGGAACTATCATCGGTTGTGCGTCTCTTAAGACGAAGAATCGAACATAGTTCATCTAGACGCATAATGCGTCTTGTGCCCGTCTTTATACTGAGGACACATAACCAGACAAACAAATGCTTGCCCAAGTTCGTCCAGACGCATAATGCATCTCTAAAATAAAAACGGCCAATATAATATATAATACCGGTAGTAACTGTTTAGCACTTTCTGTACAATTTGAATTTTTTATGCCTGATATTTATTATTTTATATCTTCCTCAATAACTTGCCTCATCTATAAATTCGTTGATATGATTGTATGATGGATGACTTGGCATGTCGTCAGCTTCTATATAGCCTGCAGCTAATTCTGCGTTTCCAGTGACAATATACCTATATACATAACGAGCAAGAACCGGAAAGCTGGGAACGCCATGAATTGAATGTGCAATCATAATTCCATAATTTTCAGAAAATTAGCCTTCTCCCAGCCACGTCCAGGTATTCGTTGAGTCTCCTTACCCTCGAACAGGTCTTCGTTGATGACTCTTAACAAAATCTCAAAGAATTCTTGCTTTAAAGCACCAGCATCTATACCACATTCATTTGATCCATCAAATGAAATAGAGAGTGGTCTTTTCAACTCCACACTACTTTTAGATTTGTAGAATATCAAAGCATGTTTCCAGATATTATTTCTATCAATATGTAATAGCAATGCTGAATGGTCCATTGTTCTTTGATTTTGATAATCATTAAGTAGACACTTAATAGATGGAGCTAGACCTATGCAAAACATAAGTACTACTGTTTATAAGGTGTATACTGGTGGGCACTATGGATAGATACCATCTCAAAAATACCATATTAAAACACATGAGGGCTGCAAAGCTCTGTCAGATTTGAGGTTATCTCAATATATATTTTAATGTAACACAACAACCTCAATGAAAACAATCTAAATTCATACAGAAATGGATTCAAAAACAATCTCATTGTGGGCAATGAATATTCATTAACACATCATGCCAGTTTGATATTGGATTGACATTTATTTATTTATAAACAAATAAATAAATATCAAACAATCAAGGTCATTTACTGGTGCCAGGAAATTAGATAGCCTATTTTTTACAATTACTTGTGATAATTATTTATGACTGAGTTATTTTATATTTATACCTTCATTAGAAGTAGCTTCCTTTGGAGAAAGTAATCCTGCTACAGCTTCCTCTAAGTCTCCGCCTGATCCCTCCAGGCTTGCATTGATCTCAGGAACATCCTTATTGGGAAACATTACCTGTAACATTTCCACTTTAGCTATATGTAAAACACAAATCATGTTAAAAATTATAAAAGGAGCCAATGCCAAATATCAGGGACTCAAAGGATAGTGAAATAGACAAATTTTGTGTATAAAATGACAATGTAACAAGGATAATTATATACATACTCCAGTATAGTTCGCACACAAAAAAGTTGGAAACTTCACACTAATTAATATGAAGTGTTTTAGCCTTTGATGGTTAATGTATCAACATTGGGCCCTATTTACATAAGAACGGAACAAAGTCAAACCAGGACCATTTAGTCCGGTCTCATGTAAATGGAGCCTTACATAGTTTGCACATAGTTTATTTTAATAAATTTGCTAATCTGAGCACCTTTATCCCCTACCTCTTCAATTTCGACAATGCTGTCCTGAACAAATAATTAAATTAACAAACATGAGAAATATACAAATAAGCACATATATTGAGTGAACCAGTTAAGAAAACAACAACAACAACAACACAGGGGCGCCAGAAGCAACATGAAGCGGCGGGGGCAGCCATGTAAAAAGGGCACTTACTCTTGAGCCTTAAATTTTTGTGCGGGGGCAATACTCGTGCTGTATAATGGATACTTCATTACTTGTACCTAATACAGTTAGACAAATTTCGACATAGATTGGAAAATTTTTATTCGTTGCATGACACTAAAGACTAAAATGTATTGTAAAGCAACATAACAGTTATCAGTTATTTAGGAAGGTTTCCTTTTTTACTTTTTTTCATATTAGGTTGAAACTGATTTGTAATGTTTCTGAGAGGAATTCAGATTCAAGTATGAGCTAAATTGTTTAAAAACAGTTTTCAATTTCAATTTATGTGAAAAACGCATGGCGTTCAAAGTGCAGTTTTGGTAAACTGTTTAGGCAACGGGGGCAGCTGCCCCCGCTGCTCCGGCGCCCCTGAAAAAAAATACTAATAAAACTGACTTAACACATTCTTCAATCTTCAACATGTTTCAAACAGAAGCACCGAGCATGGCACACATACATACATACATATACGGTAATAATAAATAAGGCTCCAAATCTATAACGGTATATAATAGGGACATGTTTCTCAATACCTGTACATGAATATATTTAGTCAGTTTGGACAGAATCGTTAACTTATAGGCATAGTAATACTGTAGAAGGTTGCATATTCTATTTTCCTAACCTTCCATGAGACCATCACATGCATGACCAGAGAATGTATGGAAGATTTTTCTTAACTAAGGTTCAAATTTTAATTGTACCTCTGCAGATTCAATTTCCACTTGATTAGGAATACCGCACAACTCATGATGACTTTGTATGTTTGTCAGTAAAAACTCTTCCCCGCATTGCAAGCAGTTCACTTTTGGAGCCTACATGTAGATTGAGAAAACATATTAATTCAATAACAACTTCTTGCACAGTGTCATGAAAGCACACAACTTGTAAACTTGAAAATATATAATCTGTTTTTGCTGCTTGATGTAGAAAATAAAAAAAAGTTCAGCCACTTTAAATTATGGCATGGTAGAAGTGGAAGGGGGCAAAGCAATCACATAACAAGTCATCATCAAATACAATTTAGCAGATCCTATTTGACCCTAATTATACAAAAATAACTCTAACACTAACCCTAAATATCCCTACAAGATTCTAAAAATGTCATTTTAGTATCACTTGAAAATTGCTGGACCTAGCCACTTCGGCATGTTTTTGATTTAGCTGCGACCATTCCAATCAGTCAATTCCAGCTGCGACCATTCCCCCACCCCCCGGGACAGTGTGGGGCATTTGTACGCTTACTTGTCCCCTGGGCATTTGTCGCTCACAGAGAAAAGACCACAGCCACAAGTTTCCTTTGTTGTATGCCAAAATGGACGACTATTAAATATGTTAAACAAATTTTATATTATATTATTGTTGAATGTTGGTTTTCAAGTGTGAATCAATGTTTAAGATTTTCCTTCAGTCCATATTATATATATATTGTATTTACAATGAAAAAGTTTTTGCAATAAAAGCAAATGTGTCACAGTCTTTCGTCGATGTTTTCATCTGAAATGAACACGTTTTCCTTGTTTGTTTTTTTGTAAATTCCCAAAAGAACAATTAACAGAGGTATAAATACAAATTGTTAAAACACATGTAATTAATTTAGTATATTCTTTGAAATTGACTAATTTGCCTGCCCAGGGTGGGGCATTTGTTTTGTTTTTCGTCCCAAGGGTGGGGCATTGTTTCTTTTTTGTGGCCCACCCCCCTGGCATTTGCACGAAAAAATGAAAATTTACCAATGCCCGGGGGTTGTCCCGGGGGGGGGATAGTATTGACTGATGCATTACCTGATCAACTTCTGCTGGTGATAAGTCCAGACGAGCTTGTAATGGGTGAATGTAGGCTAAAGCTTGACCCAATCCAGAATGATCACGAAGGTATGGAACAGAATAACCCAAAGATGGTACAGGTATTAAAATGAGACAATTGTTGGATCCGCTTCTCAGGATTTCAAACCCACCACCAGATGCCAACTTGGGGAAAACAGATTCAATTGTGTTCTTAAATTTTAAAGCATCATCTTTGTTTCCAAATACGATTTTTTTCCTGCCTAACCCAGCAGTTTGCAAGTTTAACTTTTGATTTCTGGACGGAACCACTTTTTGGTCAGGATTTCCCAAACAAATAAATTCATGTGTCCATGGTTTTTTTTATACGATATGGCACATGTCGGTTTGTACGTCGTGATGTCGATGGGCGAGATGCTTTTTGCAATGTCGAGAAACAGGACGAATTACCTGCACCACGGTCGTTACAAAAAGGATTCGGAAATTGGAAAGAACTGCTTGTTCTCGATTACTAGTACTGGCACACAACTCATTTGAATAACTAGATGCAGCTGATTGGCTCGGTCCAGCCACGGGCTGTTGACTGTGTTGTACCACCTGCGTGGAAGTTTGGTTTGAAACACATCTATTCGGACGATTTGTCAATCTAGGCTGATCAGATGATTGGTTTGAGTTATTTGGAGTAACTGTTGACGTGGCATCTGAGTTTATTTTGGTACTTGAAGCCGAAAGAATATCTGTTGCCTGTCTAAGTAAATTTATAGCCGTAGAAAAGGAACATTCGCTCGCCATGTTGTTTCTTGCATGAAAGCAAAAGCAACTAGCAAGTAGGGAAATAGAGGGAAGTACTGAGAGTGTTTGGGATAAGAAAGGATAAGACGTGATACGCGAGAGCGTCCGATATTGGTTACCATTCTTCTCAGCAGTGACACAACAGAAAATGCACTTTGTCAGAAAATGCAGTTTGTCAAAAATGCAGTTTCTCAGAAAATGCAGTTTCTCAGAAAATGCAGTTTAACAGAAAATGCAGTTTAATAGAAAATGCAGTTTAATAGAAAATGCAGTTTAACAGAAAATGCAGTTTGTCAGAAAATGCAGTTTAACAGAAAATGCAGTTTAACACAAAATGTAAAACAACAGAAAATGCGGTTTAACAGAAAATGTAAAACAACAGAAAATGCAGTTTAATGTAAAATGACGTGTCCATAAAATTTAAAACAGCATCGCAAATTAGTAATAACATTTTGACAGTAATCACCCGTCATAACGTGCAAGCGCGTGTGTGTAATATAGGGGAATGAGACTAGTTTTTATTGCACTGTGTTTAATTGAATCTACGACAGTATTTGGGCTGCCTATGGTCAGACATGGAAAGTGAAATAGTCTTAGACGTAAGCTTCCTTCCATCTAATGCAACATGTACTATGTCTTGAGCAATAGGCATAACTTTATTCAGTCCTCCATTGTCTACAACATTTATGTGTTCTTCAAGCTGGGCATCATTGGAAGATGCAGTTATCAGCGGCTTTCCCGGGGGGTCGACCCCCGGGCAACTCATGGGCAACCCCCGGGCATGGCACGGAATTTGTTTTAAAATCACGCCCCGGAAACCCGGGATTTAGCCTACATTTGTATTTTGAAAATTAACCCCGGGGGCAAACGCCCGGGATTTGCATATGGACTGCTGCTATATCGGTCAGCGGTGATTCATCAAAAAAATTCTTAATTATGATTTTTGAAGACGCTTCGAACCTTCGAAGTTCGAAGCAAATTCGAAGCATTTCGAAGCACATGAACAATATACCGTTGATTGCAACTATAGTTTTCTCATGACGCATTTCCGCTTAGTAGCAATCGATGGTAGGTGAATGTAATTTAATCCTTTTATTTATAAATGAATAATTAGCCATCTATCCTCAATAAAAGTTGGAAACACCAGAATAATTGTTTGAAACTATAAAGGACACAAACTTTTTAAACGTTTTGTATCGGATACTGATTTATTAAATAGGTTAAAATAGCAAATGTATTAATTATCACTTATTTACTGAGACCGAGGGAAACAGTGTGTTTTGTGGACCCGAGACCGTCGATGTTTCCCGAGATCAACGGTCGACAAAACACACTGCTTTCCCGAGGTCTCAGTAAATAAGTGTTTTATTATATACCAATAGTCAAAGAAACAACAAATTAAAGAACAAATGAACGTAAATACATGAAATATTTTAATGTTAAAACGTTATATTAAACACTGGCTTCACTGCAGTTACTTAAAGCGAAAGTTTTAATTACGTACTAGGCATGTCCAAAGGTCGCATCTTCACGTGATGGCGCACAATGATTTTTTTTGTTATTCGCCGGTCGATAACGTATTATCTCCCTCTCGTGCTGTTGCGAGGGAGACAGCCTAATTTCGTCACTCTCACGTGATATGCTCTCAACCAATAAAACACTAGAAAAATGCGACTTTGACTATTGATATATAATAGTAACAAATGTCCCGATATAAAATTGTGTATGAATTTTTAGTTAAAAAATATCTTCTTTACGGCCTACGCTTCATTGTTTATTGAACGAGATGCCCAAAATTATGTTAATAAGTATATTAACTTACTACAAATTTCTTTGTAAATAACCATTTGTTATATTTGAAATTATTGTTTTCCAAATTTCGTCCCGGAGGTAGGGGCATTTGTGACAAAATTTTGCCCCAACCCACGGGCATTAGTGTCCTTTTGTCAAGGCTGTTTTGACAAATCCCCGGGGTGGCCCGGGGGTCGACCCCCCGGGAAAGCCGCTGATACCTGCATTATCCATGTCAAAAAGTTGAAGAGATGAACTGGTACAACATTCTTTGAATTTTCCATTGTGAGATCAGATGCCAATGGCGGCCAGCCAGGTGGTAACAAGCCCAGGTTTATTCTGCAATGCATTGTGTAAAATCATTGAATAACACGTAAAGCTCATCCAAATCTGCTACACTTGTTTTTCCATAGTCCTCATAATCCATATCTTCTACATCTTCCATCCGCTTAAGGTCATATGTTCATCCACTATGTCTTCTGATGTATTTTCAACATAAACCATTTCACTTTTTGTTCTTACATTAGATTTGAGAAACACAAGTTGAGGGTAGGGTTTTGTCAGTTTATTTTAAGCCTAAATCTCCTGTAGTTTGATGCATCAAGTCCTTCTTCCTTAACAATATGCACAAATTGGTTAAACAGTTTTGTCATATATTTGATTTGTTTATTTGCAATAAGGTTACTACATACTTGGTCCTTTTATTTTTAACCTATATGTATCTGATGTTGATGTCCCTCAAACCTGTTATCAATATGCGGATGACACTTCGCTGTATGAACATTGTAAAACTGCCAAATTCGATCAATCAATCGATAATATGCAACAATCGTTGGATTCCCTGAATCACTGGTCCTCACTTTCGAATTTGTCATTAAATTTAAAAAAAAACTAAATCAATGCTGTTTTCGACAGCTGAAATGTCACAAACACATTCCCTCGACAAAGCTAAACTAGATCTTATCTGTGCTAATCAGAAATAAAACGTGAAACTGCTACCAAATGAACTGGAATGAACCTATAAAATATATGTTGTCTTCCTGTTGTGTTGTCTTGGTAGTCTTGCATAAGCTCAAGCATATAGCCCTGTATAACTTACATAAACAATTAGTCGAAATGCTTGTCATATCAAAGCTAGATTACTGCGACACAGTTTATAGTCCAGTACACAACTACCAACTAAAGAGACTACAGCGCATCCAAAATGAATGCGCTGGTTTTGTTAAAGGCTCTTACGCTAAAGTTGCTGACGTCATTAATATTGGTTGGCTCCCTATTAAGGAAAGACACATGCTAAAAATGGCACACAAAGCATTACATCAATCCCCATGGCCAGCATGTTTTCCACTGAAAATTCAATCAAGTGAGCGGGTACTTCGCTCAAGGACAGCAATGAAACTTCAAGTACCACTAGAAAGTAAAACATTTCAAGATACAGCCTCGCAATTGTTCAATGCTCTACCTGCTGAACGTAGGAATTGTGAACTTTTAGGGCATTTCTCACAGCAGTGCAAACACTTTTTAATGTGTAATGCTAGAGACAAATATTTTGCATAGTTAAAATTTTAATCCTTAGTTTTAAATTTTCATAGAGACTTTGTATAGTATATTTTTATGTAAACTTTTGCAGATGTAGAGCCACACTGTGGAAAAGCTGTAATAAACCATTATAATTATTATTATTAATTTCTCTGATCCGTTTTAACCAGCTTAAGTTGGCTAAAAATTCTTTCAACAGATACATATGAAAATGGTAGTGAAAGCCAGAATACTAACAAATGCCATCAACAGCAGATATTTTGCTTCACCTGTTGGGGTCGTTGTGTCCCGTATGTTTAACCAGTATTCATCCCAGTGAAGTTCAGGCTTTGCCTTTGGCTCAAGTGCATCTTGTCTCCACTGCATATCAAGCTTGTCGAGGTTGATGGTATCTTGACAAATGCTTCTTAATGAATGAGGCTTGAGTGCAGCAGCATTGGATGGTAAAAGGCACTGAACGATTTTGTGAACTGGATCATCTATGTCACATTGACTTTGGATTTGAAGAATGCTCTCGATGAGAAAGTTCTTACAGGTCGTTAGGAAATTATCAACACCAGCTTTCCCTGCCACGCTAGCAATTTCGTGGATAGTAGGCAATTGACTTGATAAGGTTTTCTTCTGGTTTTACCATGTAGAGGAGAGGGCGCTTGCTCTGAAACAATCTGTTAAATGCATTAAGACGCTCAAGTTGATAGCTTAGGAACTCCAAGATACACCCGGGTAAAATGATTATGGAGTGGTTCCAAAATGTGATCGTTTGAGTGTGATGGGTCTTCGTTGGCTGTCAAGGTAAAATAGCGGGTCAACGCTTCGAACTGTTTGAGTTGTCGGTTTACACACTCTTGTAAAGAAAGCCAATGTGTCTGCGCAGGTGATAGAATCTTGAGTGGTTGGGCATTAAAAAAGGCCTGGAACTCTATATACATGTCTTGCCTTTTAGAAGATCGACTGAACTCTCTGATCTCTACATAGATCCTCCATACCTTTGGGTAGTTTTACTGCAGCATTAAATGATACGAGATGGATAAGGTGACATGAACACTTCACAAGTTGGACGTATGTAAACTCTGATTTGGGTAACTGCGAAATGGAGTTGTACTGTCTGAACATCACATTTGTGGTATCGGATGAGTAACCTATGATGTTCCTCATAGGAATGTGCTGCAGAAAGGTTTCATCACTTTGTCCAGTTGCACTACCATCTTCAGTTTCGATCATATCTACCAACCAGTACTGAACCTCAAACTTCTCAATGTCAAAAAACGTAGCAATGATGGCCAGTTGCTTTTTGACACTTTTGTCCATTGCTTCATCGATGATTACACTAAACGTTCCTGATTGCAACAATGCATGACACCATTTCCTTGAGGTATTCAAAACCAAGTACTTGGCGAATGATGTTTGTGGCCTTCTGCTTTCCAAGTTTTAAATAACTTAACGCAGCGTCATTTGGAAAAAGAAATCAAAATAGTTCGACTGTGTCTTCTGAGAGTGACAATGGCAAGTTATGCTGGGTAATAAACACACATAATTTTATTTTGATTGAAGTCGTTACATCAGAGTTTGTTGTTTGACACATTAGTTGGGTGATGGAGCCAGTTGTCCTTTATCCTTGCTTGATGTTTTTGGCTCGCAGCATTTCTATGCCGCCAAGGCAACCAAATAGTATATTTCTCTATCCGATAACCTCTGAAGAATTTGAAATAAAAATTAATAAGCTAAACTGTTCAAAAGCTACTGGTACTTTTAGTGTGCCAGTAAATATTTTACAACTAATTATGGGAATTTGCAAACCTGTAGGAATTTTATTTAATAGCTCTTTGCTAACTGGTTGTGTCGCAGATTGCTTTGAAATGGCCGAGGTAATCCTGTACACAAAAAAAGTTTCAGCTATCCATTGTGATAATTATCATCCGATTTCTTTGCTATCAATTTTCAATAAACTATTAGAAAAACTTGTTTTTAATAAAATTAGTTGTTTCGTTGAAAAACACAATATCTTATTCAATAAGCAATTTGGCTTTGCAGTTTGTGCAAAACATTCTACATTACATGTAATACTTTCTGATCAGATACAAACAGCTGTTGAAAATGGCGAAACATCCAAAACTGACCACATCCAAAAACGACACTTTCGTCATAGTGCTATCTACCAAACCATAAAAGCTTTGGCTATTCTAAGGTGCTTATATGGTTCAGAGATGGTACTTTTGGGGTTAGTCATTGGTAAGTGTGAAATGCCTAGCACTAATATTTCACAAGAAAATGACAATGCAATACTCATAGTTAAACATCAATTTGTGGCTTGCAACTTCAGATAAACAGCAGTGGACTTGTACATTACCTTTTTCCCTAAATCTTTTTGCTAGAAACATAATTGGTACTTACTTAAATATGTTATCATTGGTGTGGTGTAAAATAGTTAATATTTTCTGACCAAAATAATAATATGTGCCTACATCCTGCAAATGGATGTATAAGTTCTGCACTTTACTCCACTGTTTATCGGCAATCTCGTAGACATCCTTGCAAAACTGTAAATCATCTCAGACATAATGGTATCAAGAACATTTTAAACAAGTTTCAACTTGGTTTCAAGTAGATCATAGCTGTTTAACCATCGACAAGGTAAATCCACAACTTTGTTCGGTGGATTCTGTCATCCCATGTGGGTTGTCAACAATTCGGCCTTGTTACTCTTCCATCCAAGCCATTTCCATATAAGAAATGCGGCATTTTATCACCCCGTAAAATGTTGCTCACAAGTCTTTCAAAACATTCCGTACAAATCTCGTGTGACAAAGTAACAGGGACATGACGGGGGGGG